AAGACACTGAAGGCTTCATTTGTGGTCGTTATCCTGAGAGTAGCGACTAAGAGGATCGTCCAACTGCAGAAATATGCGAAATACATTACCAAGCATATCGATCATAAGTATTCCTGAAGTGCTCCAACATGCATCAGTAACGGTAATTAAATAAGTTGTCTGTCGTGTTTTTCACTCTGATATTTTAGTAGTCATGTGTGTCATGCAGTAGATATCATTTTAACGATGGCCTGGTATACGATAAAATTATAACTGGAATATTATATGTTTATTTGGGGACCAGCTTTTGGTACACTGGTTAATAATAACTATAATAATGAAGTAATGCATCTTCTTAAACAATAATCTCAGAATGTTTGTGTCTGTCTGTCTGTGTGTGCGCGTGTAATTTCCGAGCGGCTTAATCAAGAAAACGGTAATAGTTATGGGACTGGTTTTTTTGGTATAGTTTCGACAAAACCCTGTAGTTTGTACCACAAATTTTGCCAAATAGGTACCACTGGGCTGCTATAACAAATGGGAGCAGAAGACGGCAGAAATGATTCAAATTCTTAGAGATATTTATCCGCAATGGATCCCCAAGGAGCACCTAAAGAAGAGCGAAGATAAGGTATGTTAAAATAACTGAAAAATGTAATACTAATATATTATAAGGGACAGTATTATACCAAAATTGCATGTAGCTGTTCGATTTAAAATATGTCCATTAGGATCATCAAATTCTTATTAATTAATATTAGTAGCCAGTTATTGGTAAATATTAGCCTTCTGCCCTTTTATGTAGCTAACTAAATGTGGTTCCAATCATGCTAGTCATACGTACACGATGCACTACGTGCTTCAACGCTTTCCTCCACATTATTGCTATATAACTTTAACTGAATTAAAAAACCGATTCACCAGCTGCGGTCCCCGAATTACCGCAAACCCCTATTTACAGCGGCTTTTTTTCCCTGGAACGATGAACCGGGGCTGAGTATTACTGTAAAATTTTAGATTTAAAGTTTAATATGTTAGTCTTGTGATTAAAGATTATATCTATATGTGATTTTTGTTGTTTAGGTTTGTTAATACAATGTACTCTTTCAGATTATCATTGATGGAGACGAGGTAAACCAACTAATAAATTGCCCTGATTAACATTTGAAGTTTTATAGACCGCCCTAGATGACACTAAGACACTATATTGGGGAAATCACCATATTCACATGATAAATTATGAATTACGAGTAATATTTAGGTGATATTTAAGTAATATTAAGGTGCTTAACTTCATTTTTATTACATATATCATTTAACAACAGGATATGATTGAAGCGAAAGTATTTACATACAATTTAAAATAATGTACGGTATCTAACTGCGAATTCTTGTAATTGTTATTAAACCTGTCTTTAATTATTCGAGTATTTCATGTCATTTTTTTCAGCTAACGAAGAAAATGTATTGTAGCGCAATTGTCGCTCAGTCTCACGACGAGGACAATGTATTGAATCGATTCTTCCCCACTTGCTCTGACTGGCACGCAAAGATTTGCTATCTTGGGGTAAAAAATATGACATTTTCTTAAGAACTAATTCTAAGCTTTTTTCTATTACTTATGATTATGAGTTAACAATATGATAATCAATATATATTATTTATTGCTGCCAATAAAAATTGATTGACTTGCGATGAGGATACTATTTTCCGTCCAATACATTATATATGTATCTAGCGTACTTTTGTTTTATTAATTTAACTGTGCATTATTTTGCAGAGAGTATTACGACTTCTTCACTCTGAAGATGCTATCGCAGAGAAAGGAACGTACACAGGGAACTGTCATTTGATTAACAATAAAAGGGTAAATTCGGAACTTATCTATCCGGGTATTTATATATTACACGATGAGATGAATTATTGATAATTAGAGGCATTTATGACATATTTCATAATATCTTTACTGTTCATTAAGATGTACATAAATACAATAATGTGTTTATTGTGTTTGTCGAAATCAAAATTCCTGTAATGATTTTTTCAATTTAAAATGACATTTTATGTTCGATGATCATAAATCAATTTAACCATTTCTCACCGTAGGCTGCAACATATCGGGCAAAAGACCACAACAAGGAATGTCGAGAAATGTTTATACTGAACACAGAGGCAGTGATCGTGGGCTTCCTGAAGGAAGCTCTTCAGAGGGAGGGATTCGATTTAGAGAAGAATATTCCTCTCAGTCAGCATAAACAGCACGTGAAAAAGTTGACGTAAGACCATTTCAATATTCTTTCCGTAAAGCCAATAACATGATACAACTCTCCACATCTTACTCATGATTCAAAGAATTATTTCTGTGCGACCACCCAAGTGCAAATTAGGTAAAAAGCAAAAGGTTGCATAGTAATCATGGTAACGGTGTCGAACGTGCACGTGCAATGATCGTTGGATAGTGATTTTGATCGGTTTTGTGGTAATTACGTTGCGTTCAGTGCGAGCTACATCTTGATCGGCTGTATCTTCGGTTATGACGGATATTTTTTGACTTGATACAAACTGACTACCACACAATACTATTACCTTCCTCCATGTGTAGTGGCCAGTGACCACGGGCTTTATAGTCTTACTTATAATTCAAAGAATTGTTTCTGTCTGTACGACCGCCCACATGAAAATTATATAAGAAATAGGAGGTCGCATAGCAACCATGGCCATGGTAACGGTGTTGAACTCGCACTCGCACGTGCATGGATTTGAGAGGGGCATTTTGATTATTTATTTGTTATTACGTGGTGTTCAGTGCGAGCTATATTTTAATTGGCTTATCTTCGGTTGTGATGGATATTTGTTGACTGCTGATGCTATAAAAACTGACTACCAAAGAATACCATTAGCTTCCTCCCTGTGACCACGGGCTTTCTAGTCTATATTATAATTCAAAGAATTATTCCTGCCTGCAATCTACAATCTACATGCACGACCGCCCACGTGCAAATCAGATGAGAAAGTTGCACAGTTACCATGGTAACGAGGGTTGAACAAGCATATAAGCACAAGCACTGTATGTGCAATAATTGTTGGACCGACCGTAATTTTGATCGGTTTTGTGGTCATTACGTTGTGGTCAAAGTGTTTTACATTTAAATCGGCTGTATCTTTGGTTAACGGATACGATTAAAACTTTACTTATTTAGTTACTAGCTTCTTCCCAGTTCCCTGTTACCGCAGGCTTTTCAGTCATATTATAACGTGGCGTGCTAGAAAATAAGTCTAATAATGAGGCTAGAAGGACCGGCTTTTCTTCATAGATAAGAGAGCTAGAGGGGGCTTTTTCATTATGAGTCCATAAATTCATTTCAGCCAAAGGTTGTACTTAACTTTGAAAATTTGTGACTTAGTTTACTCACAAATTTAAGACACAATAATATAGAAAGGACAATATATGCTTTGTATTGGTTATAAATGGTTGGCTGATGCTTTGATATGCTAGGTCGTGCATCGAAAAAATGCTGGACGAAGTTCTCGATGTCGGAGACTACGACAAACTTCTCTACAACGAAAGCTTGCAGTATTGCCCCAAGTGCCAGTTCACTGCAAAGACCATTGGAGCGCTGAATTACCACATCGGAAAAAGTCACCTTGGTGAAGCAAAGCTGGTGCGGGATACGCTTAAGGGAGACAAGAAGTTAGTAAATATGATACTCTCACTTCGTTATCTGTCAGGCTACTGGAGTAATACCGAACTGGGGAATTGTCGAAATAAGATAAAAGGGGCATTTTCATTTTACTATCCCCGAAAAATCGATACTGCCGGCTATAATTTTATCTAGTCTAATTCATTATCCAAAAGCAACATGATTTTTAGGTTCAACTACCAACGATTGGTTCTTTTCTCTGGTCTAGTTTTCATGACATTTGAAGATGCTATAAAAGAAGGTAATCTTTAGAAATACTGTGGACTCTTTTCATTTATGTATTGTTGTAGAGAAATCTTAGTCAAAAACAGTAACGAACGATCCTGATTCCTTGTGGCTAAATTGAAAAACATCGAAATTTTAAAATTTTAAAATTATTTTTTTCTTTGCTGCTCAGGAGACGGTGACCGTATAATTCTGCTGTGGCGGTTTTTGGTGTCGTTTTTCAGACAGCAGAACAGCAGTCGGTATGCATTTGCAGGCATTCAGCTCCTCATTGGTATCCAAAGCCTCGTTACAGAGAGAGAAGCCATTAAGATCATTTGGAACCGCACTACAGGTATTACCTTGCAAGGTAGAATTTGGACATTGGCCGAAGGTGATGTATAATATTAAGGAAAGCGTGAATCGAAAATTATGAAGGTACTTGTAACTTGTAAGGATGATTCGTGTAAATAGTATTTCACCCGGACTGCGTTTTACTTTTTTATGATTGACTGGACGACCACTTCAGGATTACGTGACCAAAGAGGTTGCAGGATACCAGACGATCTGTACAATGAGTTTCTGAACCTCGCTCTGGCAAAAACGCTGTCCCCTCATAAAACGACTGCTGAGGTGATAGAGAGACACAGCAAATCTATTTATTTTGCCCACCAAGTGAGGGTGGAGTACCTGAAAGAACTAAAGGATGTATATACTCCAAAACAAATAAGGATGTCGCCAGAGACAAGGACTTTGTTGCAATTTTAAAGGCGATGGAGGACACTAACTGCTTCGTCAAAGTAGAGGGACGTGAGGGATACAAGGGTTTTAAAGAAGTGCCAGAAAACATATATTTTCATAAAAACACTAAGGATCAAATCAAATGGGCTAAAAGCCATATTGACAGATTTGCGAAGCACGGCTTTTTACATACCGACAGCAACGTCCAGACCTCCAAGGAGTCCTTGGACATAGAGCTAGATCTCGACGAGAACGATGAGTTTGTTTGCAATCTGAGGTCAAGGCCCATACGGCGGACAGATGCTTAGTTTATCTATTAATAAATTGGTAAAAACACATGCCAATTCATTCAATTTGAAAGGAATTTCAACATACCGTTTAATAATTAGGCAGATAGGTTCACTTCACACTCTTCGCCACAAGTACCACCACTGTTGTCGCTGAAACATTAGTTATCAATGAATAACGTCTATCGATGCTAACTTAACTTAAATTATCAATTTTTGTGTATTGTTGTAATATTTTATCTAACGGGATTTACTTATTTGAACTAAGGATTTCATTTTCTTGTTATGATTCGAGTTTACATTTTTCACGCAAGATACCAGAGTTTTAACTTTTTATAGCAATCGCTCATAATACTTAGAATATATATAATACTTAGAATATATATATACTGTATTATATATATATGTATATTATATGTGCCATTGATAACACATATAACAACTAATAAACCATCCTGTTTGTTATCTGGATAATGCTATTTTATATGCCTATTGATAAATTTGAAATCAAACTAAGCTCTTATCAATAATTTACCTTAATTTAGCTAGAAAGATCGGATATGGCAAATGATGATTCAAATCCACACTCCAACGATGAAGTATACAGAAAAGGAATTACAATGGGTGAGTCACATTATAATATTAGCACTGTTGTTTTTTTGCATAATATTTTCGAAGGCCAATTATATAGTAGTTATGATTAGGTATGATTTGTTGCTAAAAGCTAAGACAACTAGATGTTGACAAGAATTCCTCAGAGGTATACAGGACAATAAGCGAGCTAGATAATGACATAATACCAACGGATATCCAAAAAAGTTGCATCGAAGAACTTATTGTTAAAAAAAAGAATTTATTTGCTACCCTTCCAACCGGTATGTTGATTAAAATTGCATTTATGTGCAACTAATAATTTAAATACTTAATAAATTATAAATTAATTATAACATTAAAGTTAAACCACAATTTGCAGCTCCAAATAACATGCATTTGTCTACATTTTTTCAGTAGCAAGAAACATTGTAAGGTTATTTAGAAAAATAAACGAATCTCACATTATCTTTACTACATCAAAATTGAAATGTTCTTCAAAATACGTCACAAATTTACCTTCCAGGTTCCGGAAAGAGTTTAATTTTCGTGGGAGCAGTATTAGGAGAAAAGATTGAAAATAACTGTAGTTGGACACTATTGATCGTTCCAATACTGGCGCTCATGAAAGACCATATAACAACTCTACGAAAGGTAAGAAATCCCGCTCACTATTAGCACCTTAATTTCAGCTGTTCCTTCACAGATTAAACCTGTAAATAAACACGGCCCTTATCTTAGTTGTATCTGATGGGGGTAATGCAACGTCAATTAATGTCAATTAATGTCAATTAATGTCAATTAATGTCAATTAATGTCAATGTCAGTTTTGCAAAATTTTGGAATACTGACATTAATTGACACGATATTTTTCGACCAGAGATTATGTAGTTCTACCATATTTTTAGCACTTTAGAACGTTTATATCATCAATTTATTCACTACTATCACATATGGAAATGTGAAATGTGAAAAAATTCAGATCATTAAACAATAAAACTAAAATAATACGGTTTTCCGAAATTTAATTTTCTTAAATGGGCGTGGCCATCCAAGGGCGTGGTTCTCAACATCATCAGAACTTAAAACCCACATTAAACGAAATGCCTTCATGACATTTATATTTGAATAACGAATCTTGATCTTAAACAGCTAACATTACTCATTCATACTAAAAAAGCCGATAGATATTTTACCTGTATAAGAAACCAATAAAATATGGGCGTGGCCGGTGGGGACCGAAGATGGAAGAGTTGGAAGCTGAAATTTTTTTGGTGGTCTTTGAACCTAAGGATCAACAGATAAGAACTTACTCATAATTATTCAAGGACATTTTGTTTTTTCGAACCGGTCTAACTTACATAGAATATCTTGAATATTTATCGAATAATGATAATCTCAAATTTCAAGACAAATTAATGTCAATTAATGTCAATTAATGTCAATTGATGTCAATTAATGTCAATTAATGTCAATTAATGTCAATGTCAGTTTGGGGTTTTTATGGAATACTGACATTAATTGACGTTGCATCACCCATTATCTGATAAACGTAAAAACTTTTCTCAAATTTTAGCTACATAAAAGTTTTTAATTTGATAAAACTCACTCATTAAAAATTCAACAGTTTAAGATCGAAGTGTTCAACTTACAAGAATTAATTGATGATGGAGACGAGGAGCAGCTTAACGCAATGAGCGATGAATCTAGGGTGATGATATCACTACCAGAAACATTGTTTAACGAAAAAGGAAAAAGTAAGTCATTAATTATGAATATAAGTAGGAGGCTGTATAGTGTATATATGAAATAAGGTTGCATGTTGTAGTACGAGATCCTTCAATTATATTAAATTTCACTTCAGCTACTGTTTGATACAATTTTAATTTAAATGGCGTTAAATTTCAGAACTTTTTAAAGACATTGCTAAAGACATCAAGTACATCGTGATAGATGAGGTGATATTCTGATTAAGCTCATAAACATAACTAGTACATAAAAATATAAACCCTTACCAATCATTTTTATATAATATTATTATATTGTAGATACCAAAAGATTGTTATTTGTTAAAGAGTCAGATAATGATTTTGGCATATTCCCTGTGATCGGGGATTTCTAGTAGACATAATACTATATACAATGTGTAAAAGACAATATATTTTAGAACTAAATTAGTAAATTGACACCTTCTTCTTAAGGTGCACCTACTCCAATTTTGGGGTGATCTCGACGGTAAAAACAACGCTGCGTTCAGAGAAACTTTCACACGCCTGAGAGAGTTGTTTGTCCACTGCAAGGCAAGAATAACCCTATTTAGTTTCAATGATAATTAATAATAACGAGATACCCAAGTAAAGTGCACTGTTTCACATTTTAGGGGAGCAATGAGCATGTCCAGTATCTTTCGTGTAATATAAGTAATACGACTGAATCTCTGCTTTTGTGTGTTTAAGGGGGGGGGCCAATGGATATTTTTTTGTGAAACTTGATTTCGAGATAGCAGTTGACCAACAAACTAGGACCAGTGACCGAACTTTTGAGGGGGTCCCGGACCCTAACCGCCAAACGGTGCCTGCGGGGCAGCCACGCCCATATTTGGTCCAAATTAGGCCCAATTTAGCCAAATACCCTGAACATGCCCAAAACCCAAATTTTAGGTGCTCTACTTGTAGCTAGTGGTCTCCTGAACTCGTATATGAAATTTCATCAAGATTGGACAAAAAATGACTGAGTTATGAGCCAAAAACCATATGCCCATATTTGGGCATACGCACCAAATTTGGTAGATTTCGTCCCATAAATTGGTCAAATATCAATATTTTTCACTGAAACTTACTTTATATGAAAGGTAAGCCTAAACTACATATTCTCTGTAAGTTATAGCTTTATATCTGTTTAAATGTGGATACTAAGGCGAAAAGACCACAAAAAATGAACTAAATTGCCCATATCTTGGTTCGCGATATTCGCGGAATTGATCTCATTAAAATTGTAACAACTCGATCAGTTTTCAAAATTTTTCCATGAAATTTTCGGAATCGACTCGAAATCGCATTTCCACCTTAGTTTGAGAACAGATTTTTGATTTAGGCCTCCAAAAAAAATTGGCGGCCAAATTCCAAACTTTTCCCGGAGAAATTCAGAATTTGGCCGCCAAATTTTTTTTGAGGCCTTAATCAAAAATCTGTTCTCAAACTAAGGTGGAAATGCGATTTCGAGTCGATTCCGAAAATTTCATGGAAAAATTTTGAAAACTGATCGAGTTGTTACAATTTTAATGAGATCAATTCCGCGAATATCGCGAACCAAGATATGGGCAATTTAGTTCATTTTTTGTGGTCTTTTCGCCTTAGTATCCACATTTAAACAGATATAAAGCTATAACTTACAGAGAATATGTAGTTTAGGCTTACCTTTCATATAAAGTAAGTTTCAGTGAAAAATATTGATATTTGACCAATTTATGGGACGAAATCTACCAAATTTGGTGCGTATGCCCAAATATGGGCATATGGTTTTTGGCTCATAACTCAGTCATTTTTTGTCCAATCTTGATGAAATTTCATATACGACTTCAAGAGGCCACTAGCTACAAGTAGAGCACCTAAAATTTGGGTTTTGGGCATGTTCAGAGTATTTGGCTAAATTGGGCCTAATTTGGACCAAATATGGGCGTGGCTGCCGCGCGGGCACCGTTTGGCGGTTGGGGTCCGGGACCCCCTCAAAAGTTCGGTCACTGGTCTTAGTTTGTTGGTCAACTGCTATCTCGAAATCAAGTTTCACAAAAAAATATCCATTGGCCCCCCCCCCCCTTAAAGAACTAATAGTAATAAAAAATCAACATTTCAGAAACAGCCGATTTTGATAAACCTGACGGCAACATTAACATCGAAAGTCGTCAAAAAGGTGATGCGACATTTAGGAATCTGCAAAAGCGACACCTATATGTTACATCATAGCCCGCTGAACAAAAATACACATATCACCATTATGGATAATGGTGGTAAAGATTTTAATCTGTTAGGAGCACTGAAAAATGTCGTTGAAGAGCTTACTGACGAGCAAAACCCAAAGCGAGTCATTATATTTTGCAGAACTTTACAAGACTGCGGAATTATTTACCGCGATATTTCACACAGCAGTTTCAAAGCTATCTTGACACCCTTAACACGGGTAAGTAAGTATTAAAATATTCAATCATCCAGTCAAGTTTAACACTGGTTGAGAGACGAAAGGCTTACAATTTGGAAGATTTTACAAAACCTGTTCTATACTGATATCACAACCTAAACTAAAGCTAAGTCTAACTCCATCTTATATATTGCGGGAGAAGTTAAAATGAAGTCTCCTCTCACCACTTGTCATCTAAGATCATTTATAATTGCTTTCACGAGTGACTATAAAATTTTAGGCTAACATCGATATATAATTTGTAGGTGATAACAGCAGAATCAAGCAGAGAATCAAAAGAAGAAATGTTTGCTGATATGCAAGACCAAAATGGGAAAATCAAAATCATTATCGCAACCAGTGCTATAAGTATGGGCGTAAATATCAGAGGTAACCTAAAGAATTATAAGAGTTAATCAGTTTTAGACTTTAGAGTATTACAATTGTCAAATAGCAATACCTATTTATATATATGAATAAGTGGCCATGACGCACGAGTATCTGAACGTGTACTGTATTATAGTCTAAAATATTCCAAAGATTAAGCTGAGGAGATAATATATGATCGATATTATATTATATTAAAAATGATACAGGTGGACTTCAGTGTATGTAGAGCTAGAGAGATACCGAACATTTATTTTTTAACGTGATGAAACCATTTTATGTGTTCAAACTAATTCTCATGTCCAGGTGCACGGTACGTGATCCAACTGGGAATGCCCACTTCTTTTGAGGAATTTATACAGAAGATCGGTAAGTCGTTCAATTATTAGTTAACCAGGAATACTACATTCCGGTATCTGGTTATCGAGAATTATATGTTCGTCAAAAGGCTTCAAAAGCAGCTGGGTACAAATCTATTTATATACTCCTAATTGTAAATCTGTGGGCAGATTTTTTCACGTAAAACTTGTACACACTTAATATTGTTTCCGGAATGAATACGTCATAGATTGGTCTGGGTATTTGAATGAGAATTGCCGGGGATTAGAGATCGACAGAAAGACCACGGTCCACGTGGTATGTACATCGCATGCATTATACTGCAACGAATGAACTAGACAGCAAGGTTAATGATTCTGAGTTACACACTGTGTAACACAGCAGCTGATAAGGCATGTAATGTGTAGTACAAGCAGTGAATTAAAATTGTTGGGACTGAGTTGTCGGGGAGAATGGAGATAGCTAAATGGTTATAGCACCTGTCTGGTTTTCAGGAGGTCGTGGGTACAATTCCCGCTCTCGGCACATCTCGTCATCTCACCACGACTTTTCACGAAAACGTACTACTTTACTGCCTTGATTCAGTTAGCTACATGATAATGGATCATGATGGCCGCCAAAGTATTGAATACATTTATTTTCAGGCCGGTGTGGAAGAGAGGGTGAAATGGGGTTTTCTATCTTAAATCCGTATTATAAGTCAGCACACCCAAACACAGAAAAAGAATTTAAGGAGTTTTGCCTTTCGCAAAACATATGATGTATCCATGAATACATTTCAAAGTATTTTCCTGGTAAGTCGATTTCTCAACCATACCAAAACCATTCGATTTCTCAACCATACCAAAACCATACTCTCGGATAGTCAGACTCACGATACATCAATTCAAATGATGATGTATAGTGTATAATATAAAATTAAAATTGTCATAATATGATAGCACTTAGTGAAATTTTAATGAACTTTTCTATTTGACTCAATAACTGGATATAAAGAATAATCATATCCCCCCCATCAATTGCAGGATATGTGAACACAGAGCCAGGGCAGTGCATTAGTTGCTCCAATTGCAGTCCTGTTAATATCTCAAACCACTTCATCAGAACACTCTTGCACCATGTTCCAGAGGAAATTACATCGAAAAAGGTTGTTCTTGAGGAGTACAGAGAGGTGTCAACAGAGTGCACAAGCGAATTTAAAGAAGAACTCCAATTATTGGCCCAACGCCACCTACACAGAGAATTTGGCTATGCACCAATAATTGGGCATCCAACATTGTCGTTCAAAGAGATCGACGCTGTTTGTGATAGGTTGAGCAGTATTCGAAGAGAGGAAGACTTGGCAGATCTGGTTATTGACCGGGATATAAGGAAGGATATACTAAGTTTAGTATATGACTTTTTTAGGGACATTCCAGAGTACAGTGGGGACTTTATGAAAAATGACACCGAACGGAGCGAAGTTTATGATTTCATTGTGGATGACACCACCGAACATGAAGGTCATATTAATACAGATGACAAGCGATTATGTTAACGAAATTTGCGCATTAGATCCTCAGTGATAATTGTGACACTGTTAACATATTACCACCCGATAATGATTTATGTGACTGGTGCGGGTGCTAGCAGTGTTGTTTGATCCATAGTACGTAATATAAGGGGTTTAAGCTGGTATATCATTATTTGTTCAATTTCACACATGTTCAGATATCATCAAGATTATGTAACAAAGTAAACTTGTTTGTGCCTTCTGTGTTTTAATTCCTTAAGACTATATGATATAATAACAATTCCTAGCACTTCCAGGCCATCAAATATACCTAATTAAAATAAGAACAAGGTTATTAAAATACAACGTACCATGCTTTCTGTTTACAGGACTCAGGAGAGTGTTTGGTCTTTTCTACCTGGTGTTTTCTACCTGGCACACGTTCCTTCAAAGTTTGGCTCTTTTAACACCAACTCACTGACAGAAGAAATAACATATTATTATTAAGAAACTGTTTACACCATTAAAATATTCAAACCCCCTAAAAGAAATCAAGTCATCCTAAAATGGTGATCAGTACAGATCAAGACAGCTAGAATTAAAATTTGTTTCTCCAAGCAACTCTATCATCGGCTAATATCTTAAGCTTATTAAGATCATTCAAAGAGTTAAGTTTTAAACCTCTACGGGTCAAATCATTCACAATAATCTTGAACAAATTCTTTCTTCTTTTTTCTCCAACAGGAGCGAGGAAAACATGGGTAAATTCTGTTTTCTCTGTGTTAATGAACAGGTTAAACTCCTTGAAGACTTCCTTAGCTATTGGTAGGATAGCTTCTCAGGATTCTGTTTCCACGTTCATGAGGTTACAATCATCTGAATACGCTGACTCCAGTGGCATACCTTCTTTTGAAATAGGGGGATTGGGTATGTGTGGAGGAGACTCTGCTAGTCGATGGCGTAGTTCTATAAGAGCTCCTGCTAGGACAAGAGTGAAAAGCTTGCCGGAGAGACTGTCACCTTGAAAGGACCCAAGAAGAAGTAACTGCGATATATTCGTTCTGTTACGACAAAACTAATATGTACAGCGTATTCATTGTACTACTGTTCAATCAATAAGATATTTTATTCGGTAAGATAATCAAACATCAAACTTCATCGGTGAATTTCTATCGACACACTAGCCAGTTTTTTCTTTACAAAATTAAATTAACTTACCACAGGATGTTCGGACCAAAATAAGTGCCAGCAGGAAGAACATGGTCATTGTGTAGGTGGATAATTATGGACATATTGTAGCTGAAACTGATATAATTTATTGAAGTGAGGACGAAGTAGTTATTTAATTAGACTACGTGGTCACAGTCAATGAAACGTAAAGTAAGCAGTACAAAATGCTATTGAAAACAATTATATCTTGGCAACCCTAAAAATATGAGATGCAATGACCAAGGACAAAGGTGGTAGCTCAGTTTAAAATCTTTTGGAGTATGGTATCTATAACTTAACACAAAAGAATTTAACACGAATAAAAAGTGTGAGTTTCGAGAATCGTGGGCGTTCGGCAGTGTAAGGAAACAATACAGTACTATACAACTAACTGAGCATTCTGAAAATTTGATAATATTAATCTCAAATCTTATCCAACGAGAAATTCGTCGAACACAAATTATTCAAAGCGGCTAACAAATGGTGAAATGACTAAAACGACACGCGCGGCGTCGGATATGAGGACAAAAGCGCGGGTAATTTTGGCACCACTGTACAGTGGTGCCAAAATCGTTGGGTGTGTTCATGGCTAGAGCCCTTTTTACCGCCGTGAGGCGGGCGCGCGCTACTGCAAGCGCAAGGGCTCTGGATAGAGCAAGGGTTTATCATTTATGTCACGTGAAATTTTTGGGCGAGCGAATTAGTAAAAGCCACAAAGTTTACCTGGGGACCCTATGCAGGCTATTATGTTATAAACATATGGGTTCAGCGGAATGACAGGCTGAGCGCCGCCCAGTAACACAAAGTAAAACATTACTCTTCTCTTGATACTTGTAGCGAGATGCGCTTCTTATCTGTGCCTCGCCGAGCTGCGATGAATTGACATCGTCAATTAACTTGATACGTGCATGTATCGTATCCCAAATATCAGAAAATTCGGCGGCGCGCGCTTCGCGCGCGAAAAGTGGCACGCAACGTGTGTCAGCTCTTTTCTGATATTGGATCGATTGTAGTGCGACGCGATGCGTTACTGTGCCGCGCCGCGCACTCAATAAGGCTTCTCAATAAGGCTAGATCGGCGAAATGCGCTACTGTGCCGTGCCGAGCTGCCATGAATTGACATCGTCAATTAAATATTGGACAGATCTTCGCACACCCTACAACCATCGGAGACAGCTAGAAAGGTTCCTTATACCAAAGCTCCAACCAGTGAATCCACTTTGAATTGCCCTATTCCACAATCTTACATCAAACGCCTGATCAACGACAAAGTCACAAAACTTAATCAAGAATCATGGATTACTGATGGTCCCAGACACACTAAACTGACACTTGGACATAAAAACATCAACATCATCAAAAATCTCAACACTACACTCAGTAACAACAGACAAAATTATAGAACTGCAGTGCACCTCATCACGGGACATTGTGGCCTCAACAAACACCTACACACCATTCGCAAATCAGACACAAGTGCTTGTCCTAAATGCGGCGACGAAGAGGAGACTGTCTCACACTTTCTCAGACAGTGCCCGGCTATTGCCCAAATAAGAGGTCAATATTTCCGGGACTACTACCTCTCTGTCAATGACATATTCGACAACCAACACATCTCCACCATTGTCAACTTTACAAACCACACTAAACGCTTAGTGGTGCCAGAGGAGTTGGACCAGACAGGTGTAACATAGCGACTACTTTAACGCCGTCTTATTTCGCCTCTCTCTTCCACACTCAACCACCACTTAAGCGTTTATCTATGACACACCCCACAGCACTTACCATCATCCTTGATTACACATTTTGATTCCACTGGCATCCTCCCACAGGACTGCCATACCCCAGAGGTAGGCAAAGCATTCATATGCTATCCTCTCGTGGGCCAACCAGGCCCAGCCTATCTAAAACAAAAAAAAAAAAAAAAAAAAATACCAAAGCTCATGAACGAAGATTCCCTAAAGCATCGGCCTCTAAACAAATTCCTAACAATGACAATGTTGTCTATTCACTATGACTATTGTGAGATTCAGAACACTTTTATAAGAGCTCATTTAAATTGTTAAAAAAATAAATCTCATTCTGGAGATTTGCGGAGATTATTTTTTTGTTTATTATAGTGGTTGCAATTTACGTGACAATTTTGGCCAATGCGCGTCGTAGTATTTAGTCACGTGGTACGCGTCACCAAAACACGTGACAGTGCGCGGATGAATTCCCACGGGAATATCAAAACGAACCAAATATAGTTGAACCAGAGCGGGGAGGGATTATAGAAACTGTGCCGGGGTTATTTATTAAGCGGAAAAAACAGCGGGATTATCAGAATTGATTATTCTATCCCGGTTGATTATTTAATTATCCGGAGCTGTGTTTATAACTGATTGATGCCGTTAAAAGTAAATAAATGATTCATAACTGGTTGGAAAATAAATGGAGATGAACTAGTTTTATTAAAAATAACATTAACTAAATATGTTCTTCACGATACACATACATTCCGATTTACGCCCCATCATGGTCGCTGTACTGGCAGGAAATATGAAAGGGGGAAAGGAAACATTGTCATGTAGAGTAGGTAGGTGGGATAGTGGGAGCAGGTGTGAAAACAGATTCACCAGGTGAGAAGGTGAGAGGAGCTGCAGGGTGAGACTTGTAAGATTCTGGTTGGCTACTGGAGAAGGAACTGGGAGGGAAGATGGAACTGGAAAGAAAGGTGTCAGCGAGGTTCAGAGGCTTAACAAATGTTAGAGGCTTTACGAAAGGTAGAGGCTTCACAAAAATGGGTTCTCCAACACTACCTTTTTGAAAGTTATTCGAAGCCTGATCGTTTTCATGAAAAATATGTGAGTTTTTTCCTATGTCATTTTGCTGATACGGTTTTTCGCCGATGTGCGTCATCTGCGTCACTAGGTTTGATTTTTGTTCTGAATTGTAGGAGTATTCAGCTTCTGATTCAGAGCAATTGTACGGTTTTTCACTGGTATGAGCCATCTGATGGTTAACTAGGCTCGATTTTCGGTTTGTACTGTAGGAACATTCAGAGCATTTATACGGGCTTTCTCTGGTATGATTTATCTGATGGTAAACTAGGTTTGATTTTCGGTTTGACCTGTAGGAACATTCAGAGCATTTATACTGTTTTTCACCGGTATGAGTCATCTGATGGCAAGCCAGGGCTGATTTCCAGCCAGTACTAAAGGGACATTCAGAGCATTTATACTGTTTTTCACTGGTATGCGTGTTCTGATGGTTAATTAGGTGTGATTTTCGGCCTGAACTGTAGGAACATTCAGAGCATTTGTACGGTTTTTCACTGGTATGAGTCATTTGATGGTTAACTAGGTTTGATTTTCGGTTTGAACTGTAGGAACATTCAGAGCATTTAAACGGTTTTTTACCGGTATGAGTCCGCTGATGGGAAATCAGGGTTGATTTCCAGTGAGCACTGTAGGAACATTCAGAGCATTTATACTGTTTTTCACCGGTATGAGTCATCTGATGGTTAATTAGGTGTGATTTTCGGCTTGAACTGTAGGAACATTCAGAGCATTTATACTGTTTTTCACCGGTGTGAACCATCTGATGGGAAACCAGGGCTGATTTCCAGCCAGTACTAAAGGAACATTCAGAGCATTTAAACGGTTTTTCGCCGGTATGAGACCACTGATGGCGAACTAGGTGTGATTTTTGGATTGAACTGTAGGAACATTCAGAGCATTTATATGGTTTTTCACCGGTATGAGTCATCTGATGGCGAACTAAGATTTGTTTTACGCTTGTACTGTAGGAACATTCAGAGCATTTGAACGGTTTTTCACCGGTATGAGTTGTCTGATGGCGAACTAGGTGTGATTTTTGGCTTGCACTGTAGGAACATTCAGAGCATTTATATGGTTTTTTACCGGTATGAGTCATCTGATGTAAAACTGAAGCTGTATTTTTGCTTGCATTGTAGGAACATTCAGAGCGAATGTGAGCATTTTCATTAGGATGAACCCACTGGTAGCAAAGCAATGCTGATTCCTGGTTGGGATGATCCAACTGAGAAACTGCATTCGAATGCACTTCTGATTTAACAAGAAAATTATCTTCCTCCTGCTCAATCTCTGTCTTGATCAATTCCGGTGAAGTACTTTCTTCTTCCATCTTCATCTCATCTTTGCATCTTGCATTGTAGGAACATTCAGAGCGAATGTGAGCATTTTTATTGGGATGAACCCACTGCAATGCTGATTCCTGGTTGGGATAATCCAACTGAGAAACTGCATTCGAATGCACTTCTGATTTAACAAGAAGTTTATCTTCCTCCTGCTTAATCTCTGTCTTGATCAATTCCGGTGAAGTACTTTCTTCTTCCATCTTCATCTCATCTTTGCATCTTGCATTGTAGGAACATTCAGAGCGAATGTGAGCATTTTTATTGGGATGAACCCACTGCATTGCTGATTCCTGGTTGGGATAATCCAACTGAGAAACTGCATTCGAATGCACTTCTGATTTAACAAGAAGTTTATCTTCCTCCTGCTTAATCTCTGTCTTGATCAATTCCGGTGAAGTACTTTCTTCTTCCATCCTCATCTCATCTTTAAAGTCTGGTACAGTCTGCTGCTCCATTTTACTAAAACGTTAACGACCGTAGAGAGGTTGCCTCTTCACTGTTACAATCGTCACTAGAAAACAAAATGAATATAAAGATATAAGTTCGATATCTAAATTTCAGTGATTATTTGAAAAGCTTTTCGCTTTGGTTACATCAGGAAGAAACAAGCTTTAAAAAAGTTTCGGCAGTAACCCAGAAAATAGAAAACAAGCGAGTATGGTTACCAAATTTAAAACAGGTCCAACTTAAGGTATTCGGATTATGCTGATACTAATTAACTAATTATAAAGTCACTTAAAGCTGTTATTATCAAACTATACCGCACCTATATATAGGTGCGAAATGAAGTTGACACTCACAGTTAGGGTGAAGAGCAGGTTTAGTTTAAGGGGGGGGGGGGGGGGGGGGGGTTCACCCTGATTTTTTTGTGAAACTTTGTTTCGAGATAGCAGTTGACCAACAAACTAGAACCGGTGACCAAACTTTTGAGGGGGTCCCGGACCCCAACCGCCAAACGTTTCCCGCGGGGCAGCCACGCCCATATTTGGTCCAAATTAGGCCCAATTTAGCCAAATAGCCTGAACATGCCCAAAAACAAGATTTTAGGTGCTTTACTTGTAGCTAGTGGTCCCCTGAACTCGTATATGAATTTTCATTAAGATTGGACAAAAAATGACCGAGTTAGGAGCCAAAAACCATATGACCATATTTGGGCATACGCACCAAATTTGATCGATTTTGGCCCATAAATTGGTCAAATATCAATATTTTTGAATGAAACCAACTTTATATGGAAGGTAAGCATATACTACACATCCTCTATGATTATCAGCGCAGTATCTACCTAACTGTGGATTCTGTGTTCAAATAATCGCAAAAAATGAACAAAATCGTCCATATCTCAGTTCGTGATATTTGCGAAACTGATTTCCAAAATTTGCCTGGCATTTTTCAGAATATGGCCGCCAAATTTTTTTAAAGGCCTAACTCAAAATTCCAATACAAAACTTAAGGTCGAAATGCAATTCTACATTGATTCCGAAAATTTCATGTAAAAATTGTTTTGAGCGAAATCAGTTTCGCAAATATCGCGAACTGAGATATGGACGATTTTGTTCATTTTTTGCGATTATTTGAACACAGAATCCACAGTTAGGTAGATACTGAGCTGATAATCATAGAGGATGTGTAGTATATGCTTACCTTCCATATAAAGTTGGTTTCATTCAAAAATATTGATATTTGACCAATTTATGGGCCAAAATCGATCAAATTTGGTGCGTATGCCCAAATATGGTCATATGGTTTTTGGCTCATAACTCGGTCATTTTTTGTCCAATCTTAATGAAAATTCTTATACGAGTTCAGGGGACCACTAACTACAAGTAAAGCACCTAAAATCTGGTTTTTGGGCATGTTCAGGCTATTTGGCTAAATTGGGCCTAATTTGGACCAAATATGGGCGTGGCTGCCCCGCGGGCACCGTTTGGCGGTTGGGGTCTAGGACCCCTTCAAAAGTTCGGTCACCGGTTCTAGTTTGTTGGTCAACTACTATCTCGAAACCAAGTTTCACAAAAAAATCAGGGTGAACCCCCCCCCCCCCCCCCCTTAAACTAAACCTGCTCTTCACCCTAACTGTGAGTGTCAACTTCATTTCGCACCTATATATAGGTGCGGTATTGTCATGTAGTATTATGTTACCAAGGTGACATATGTCACCATGTGATGTGATAACAGGGTCATTGTAACCGAGTGCAACTGTGTTAATGTAATTACCTTATCGGTCATAATTATTACGGACAACTTTTTCACGGGCCGAATGTTACGTACATAATTATTCACGCTAAGGTCTTTAGAGTGAACGTAATGTCTGTGATAATTATGACCGATAATATATGTAGGCCCAAATCCATAAAGTTTAAAATATCCTCCCAGGTACAAATTTTCTATTTTTTGTGGCCCATAGCCAGTTCTTAGGTGTTTGGGGGTTCACCCTGATTTTTTGTGAAACTTGTTTTCGAGATAGCAGTTGACCAACAAACTAGAAACGGTGACCAAACTTTTGAGGGGGTCCCGGACCCCAACCGCCAAACGGTGCCCGCGGGGCAGCCACGCCCATATTTTGTCCAAATTGGGCCCAATTTAGCCAAATACCCTGAAAATGCCCAAAACTGAGATTTTAGGTGCTCTACTTGTAGCTAGTGGTTCCCTGAACTTGTATATGAATTTTTATCAAGATTGGACAAAAAGTGGCTGAGTTATGAGCCAAAAACCATATGACCATATTTGGGCATACGCACCAATTTTGATAGATTTTGGCGCATTTATTTGTCAAATATCAGTATTTTTGAATGGAACCAACTTTATATGAAAGGTAAGCCTATACTACACATTCTCTATGAATATCAGCTCAATATATACCTAACTGTGGATTCTGTGTTCAAATAATCGCAAAAAAAATCAGGGTGAACCTTAAATCACTTGAATCACTCGAATCACTCAATATTGCTAGTACAAATTTGTAAAAATATTCCTAGAAATAAATTATGCGTACAAGAACTACATATGATATAAATCACAATACGTGGAGTTTATTCAAATAATGACAAAACTATCCAGTGTCAGTCTTAATTTACTCATCGGTAATTTGATCTTCATGAGACATGACGATCATTGCATATTTTTATTATCTGGCCTAGACTGGTAACTTATATTATATGCTAGGTAATAATACTATAATGTACATAGAACATTACCCGCAGCTGCAATACTAATACTCTAATATACCTTCAAGTTCATGTGAGAGGAATCCTCTACATACACAGATCTAATCAAATAAAATCATCCTACTGTTATGTTCACGCTCGGATCATACCAGAAAAAACTGTTGAACTTGAAACGAGGTATTTTAACTTTTACGAGAGGATCCATTGGAGGGATATAGCTTAATATGGTAAAAACGATGAGAATTAGTATGAAATGAGATCACTCCACATAAATTAAATAATAAATAATGTCAACATACACTGAGGAGTACCTAAAGTTGAGGACTGATGACAACCTTGGATTAGTCATATGGGACTAATGGATGAACTATCGGATAAACTAATAACTTAAGGGGGGCACATACCATTCTCCTAAACAGATACTGTGGCCTGGTGATGACGAGCTTGGGATCCTTTCCTTAAATATTAGCTCTATTCAAAAAAATGTAAATCAAATTATCGACGACATTACCATGATTATGCAAAGTATGACGTTATCAGCCTTAATGAAACCAATTGCAACATATCTAAAGTCTAAACTCGCAAACGATCTGAATGATTTACTTATCGAAGGTTTTCGTCCTCCAATTTACCAAGCCCCAATCAGAAAATCTTGCAAAGAAGGAGGCCTACTTATGTCAACAAACGGGTATGTAGCTCCTCAGATGATATCGAAAACTTAACTATGCATCAATACCCGAGTTTGTCTAGTGAATTCCTGATCACTAAGATCCGATCATGTAAAATGCTAAATAACACAGTTTTTTTAGTCAATGTTTACAGATCGTGACCTGCAATTCGTGACCTTAATTTACTCATCGGTAAGTTGAATTTCATGACGATCAATAAATTAAATAAACGTGACCTCAGACCTGCAATTCACGACCTTGCAAGCCAATAGCTGTGAACTTGTGAGAGGAATCCTCTTCTTACACAAATCTAATCAAATAAACTCATCAGACTGTTATGTTCACGCTCGGAATTTAGCAACCGGCCAGATATCCGGCTGAATCCGGATATCCGGCTGAATTCAATATCTGGTATGAAAAGTGGAGAAAAGTGGTTTTCAGAAAAACTGAAAAAATTTGTTCTTTTCGGTTCAAGTCATACTCGATACGTACCTCTCGTATCGAGATTCGAGAGCTCCCGTTTCCGAGCTCGTGTTGCCAAAGGGGAGGCCAGCCTTCCGAGATCGCATTACTAGGGGAAGCCTTGAGTCCAAAATTGTGTATCGAGGGGTGGGTGCGGACTTTGAAAAACCGAAAAAATATTTTTGGTTAATAATGAACAGAGTTATAGTTAATAGTAGTACAGTCAAATCCGTCTTAATTTAAGCCTTTGTCGGACAAAATTCGCAACAAAGCGATTTTAACGGGATATGGTCGGGAAAGGTCCCAGGAATCATTCCAGAGAGTTCCCAAAATTTTCGACTTCATGAAAATCCACAATCACCACTTTTTTACCACTTTGGTTTTCCGCAAATAAATTTTCAAAATTTTTATAAAAATTAGTTCAATATTTTTTTAAAAATTAGTTCAATATACGTGGAATGTAATTGTGAACATTTTTCATGAAAACATATTTTTGAAACATTTTAAAATTTACTAATTTAATTACTAATTGATTAATATAATATAATTAAATAATTACTTTTGAAAAAGTTGTTCAAAATATTGAAAGTGAAAATGTTCAAAAAATGTATTAAAAATTAAAATTAGTTCATCAGACGTTTTACGTAATTATAAACATTTTTTTATCAGACTATATTTTTGAAATATTTGGAAAAAAATTACTAATAGTAATTATTTAATCAATTAATTAAATAATTTCTTTATTAAAAGTTGTTAAAAAAAGTTGTTCTTCTTTGTTTTCTAAACACAATGCTTTAAACTAGAATCTTCTAGGATATTCAGAACGTGACTTATTTGCGGAAAAGCAAAGTGGTAAAAAGGTGGTAAAAAAGTGGCAATTGTGGATTTGCTGAAGTCGAAAATTTTGGGAACTCTCTGGAATGATTTCTGGGGCCTGTCCCGACCATATCCCGTTAAAATCGCTTTGTTGCGAATTTTGTCCGACAAAAAGACGGATTTGACTGTACTACTATAACTATAGCATGAAACGTGGAGAAAAGTGGTTTTTGGCCCCTTGCACAGATTTTATGTGGCGGCGATGGCCCCCTGGCCCCCTCCCCCCTCTTCCTACACCCCTGTCAAAAACAATTAAAAAACTGCTTGATCAGATACGACAGTTGCACCCAATCGATATATTGAAATCCCTACAATTATAATAAAAGCAAACTTT